TAGCTAAAATTAAAAATCCAAAGTTTAAAATCTTCATATTATTGAAATTTGAACATCAAATACTAACTGTAAAATGACACAATATAATGCACTATGGCATATTGGCATTATCATTCTAATTGCAAACATTCAATTTTTAGGATTTTTGAAAATATTATTTTATGCTTGACTTTCTTGAATGAGACAATATGTAACTTTGGAAATTTGCAAATTCAGAACTAAAATTACAAATCCAATGTTCTAAATATTTATGCAACTGAATTTTACTCCTAAAACACCAATTGTAAAATTACAAAATGTTTTGTACATATAGTTATTGGCATCACCATTTTACTTACAAAAATTAAATTTATTAGGATTTATGAAATTATTATTTTACTCATAACTTGCAAAATGTCAATTGTTTAGACATTAGATTATTGAGTATTTACCATAATATCTAAATCTCAAACATTTGGAAATTTAAACGGCGGGAATATACACTGACCGACCACATTCAAGTACAGACAGATGAACTTCAGGAATTGGTACTGTATTTCCAATATAAACCTACAAAAATTAAACTTTAATTGTACAAATTTGTACAATTATAATATTTTATATTGTCAATGTAGAAATTTACCCAAACTTTACATCAGTTAATTTGTGTTCAAATTTGTACACCTATAAAAGCAACCACACATGACTAACCATGCATTCATGTCTTTCATTATGCAACATAGTTTGAGATGATGAAGCACTGATTGCTGATTCCTGTGATTGAAAACTATTGATATACCATTCTGATGTCTCATCATCTTCAGTTGTCAGTGAACCTAAGCGTGTCAAAAATGTAGTCCATTCCATTTCTGATGAGATAGAAAGCCATCTCAGCCACTTTGGAATATCTGTCTGCAATCTTTCAGTATCAAGTTTCTCAGTAGATGGCTCTAATACTTGTGGATTTCCTGTTGGAGCTTCCTATACAATATGAATAATGACAAAATTAATCAATATTCATTATACTATTTTTACCTTTAAAACTTCTAAACTTTCATTACACCACTGCTCGTCACTCCAGTTCCTATAATACATTACAGCATTACTTTTAGAGGTGCAATAAAGAAATTTGAAGCAATGAGGGTCAGTATGTCCATGCAGATCTGCAATGTATGGGGCAAGCCAATTTCTAACATCATATACATGTTCTAGTAGCTCTGTATTTGGCTTCGGTGTGTAGCTTGCTGATATTGCCTTAAGTAAACCTGTAAATTCAAAGTAATGTCACAATAGCATAAAATTTTTCTAACCTGAGATTGTTTCAGCTCCAACTCTTGATAAATATGTTGATATTTTCGAAAAAAATTGGTCGACATCTTCATGCGTATGGCCAACAGGTAGAAAATTGATACGAACCTATTAATTAATTTAATTCAAATTTATAATGAGTATTGTACTAATTATTTATTTTATGTTACCTTCTTAAAAACTCCTTTCAAAATCAGAAGACTGCAAAAAGCAAAAATGTATTTATTTTTATTTTCCTTAAAGCAGTTATCAAGCTGAAGATATAATACTTCAGGCAAACGTGACTCTTTCTCTGAAATTTCTTTTAGAATTCTCATTATGACCTCAATTACCAAATTTGAATCGTGAGGATATTGCATTATATCTAAAAAAGCATATGCCATCTTCCCATTTTCTGTACGTGTATGAACTAAAGCTCCTACAAAATTAACAAAACAAGTCAGCAACTGCATTCCAGGTGATAATGTTCCTACCTGTTAAATGTGTGCGTAGAGTCCACAAATTTTGTGCAGACTTTGGAATTCTTGGAAGTTGAGGAAGGTTAGTTTTATTTTGGTCCATTCCATCTACAATAATTGTCAAGTACTTGCTAGGATCTCGTTTTGATTTTTCTCGATGATGATAATATGTTTTTCTCTCATTTCTATTACATGATAAGTTTATTATTAATAAATTTTTAACTTACTGTATGAGACGTATATGTGACTGATACTCCAATCGTAATTGATTTATCTTCTCCTTGTCACTTGCATGTTTCATCCTCTCATTTTGAAATGACACACAAATGTCACACTTACTGAATAAGCTATGCTATGAAAATGTATAAGAAGAAATTGATATTGATAATAATTATTGCATTTTCATACCTTGGGAATCAATACATGCATGAATTCTTTGTTCCATAATTTGTAAAAATGTGAACAGCTGATTATGTCACAACCATCATCTTTAAAATCTTGAAACATCATATTATAAACCATTTTTTTTGATAAAAAACATGGTAGATGTAGCTGCTGAATATGAGGCATTCTATCTCCAATTTTATTGAAATAATGTGACATCCATGCTCTTGCTGACTGATATTTGTCAGTTGTAGCTAGAAAGCGACCATGGTGTTGCATAGGAATTATTCTTATTCCACTTGATGCAAGCCTTCGAACTGCCCGAAAGCGCTGTAGTGATACTCCTAAGAGAGTAACAAATGCTTTTTGACAAAACGTCATTCCATTGAAGCCCACTTTCAAAGATCTGGAATCGCAAGGTGATTCTGCATATGATGCATGCAATACATCAAGAAGAAACTGCTTTTGTTGCATTCTTGATCGGCAACTGAAGGACTTTTGAATAGCTTGCTGTTCTCTATTGCTTATTTGTCGGAGGCAGTGATTTTTACAGCACCATCGTGATTGCCAAATTGGTGGTGTAGAACATGGCTGGAATTGCAAACAATTAGGTGCTGCTGATGAAGATATTGGTTGGAGTGTGATGCTCACATCATTACACACACTACTACTTTCAATGATGACTGTGGCAGAATTATTCATACGATTTTGCTGTGGCATTCCATTGATTTCAGGTGCAGGAGATTCTAAATCCAAAAATTGGCACCACTGTTCATCTTGTGCTTCATTGATGGCATTGTCAGGTGCTACAGCATCAAGTTGAGGTAGCCTTAGGTAAGAGCTTGGACTAACCACAGCATCATGAGGTAGATCTAATATATCTGGTGATTGCCACTTTGAATGTCCGCAATCCGCGGCCAGATCAAGTAACGGTAACGAATCATCCATGATGAAAGAAATACCCTCACTTTGGGTTCTGAGCGATTGCATCGTTTCTTTGAAAGATCAGTGCTGTGGTGCTCTATGGTGCTACCTGCTAGAAAGCCTGCTCAAATCGATGCTATCGCGCGCTAATTAATCAATTAGTTATTAACGAGGCCACGCCTAGATTTCTCGTCGGATATACTAACTCCGTACGCGGTTTCATCTCGGACCATTTCAGCTGTCTTAGTGTCTTTGCTAGAGTCTGTGCAACTTTATTAGACGTTATTCTTAGGTAAGACCAACAGTCAAGCTTAATTTTTTATTTTACATTAAGATTTATGAGTAATACCGCGGAAGGAACGAGATCTCATGGTACCACTAGTACAGCTGTTGCAGCAGGTGCTAGGAGTGAAAGGGGAAGCCAAGGCTTGGCTACAGCTACTTGTCCATGGTACTTTGAAGTGGATTCATCTACAGGAAAAATATTCTTTGTCAAAGATGGGGATACTTTTCGAGGTAGACACTATGGAGCAGTGAAAACTATTACCTATTCAGATGACATACCACCGGCATCTCTCATAGTATGTTAAATGACTTTCTATACTAGAAGAATGTAAAACATTAATCGGCTTTGCCCCTAGCAACACTATCACAAATATTAGGTTATTAAAATTTTAAAATAATCACACGACTGTAGTCTGCCCTTCATCACTGAGGGCTAATTATTTTGATTTAAGGAAAGTGATAAGGAAGTAATAATTCTGTATCATCTCATTTGACCCTTTTCCCCTGGCTTTTGATGATGATAATAATAATATTAATAATGATTAGTATTATTATTATCTATTTTACATTAGATTATATTGGAACGGAATAGAGGAAGGGTCTATCGCAAAAATTTCAATTGGAGCAAGAATTGGTTTTGTCAAAAGTTTAAAGATTCCAGTAATTCCAAAAGTTTTGCCTCCACTTTTAAAGAGTGTACTTTCTATGACAAAGTTATTCAAGTGTCTAAAGTTAATAGTAGTGATATTCCAAGCCCAAGTTTGTCATCTTTCGTTGATGATAATTCTCCTCCAGATATTTCTGAGAATAATACATTAGAGTAAGTTAAAGGGGAATATAATGTGGGGAATTATATAATCATTACAAAATTATTTACTCGTGTAGAAATGATATAAGTGGTTACGATGATCAAGAGACAGTTGAAGCAACTGAGCCAGCTAAAAAAAGGCCTAGAAAGGGCAATGAAAAAGACAAACTTAGTGAGGAAGTTCTTGCTAAGCATGTTGGTTAGGACATTGTTTTAGTTGCATAGCATTTATACTTTTTATAGGTTTGTTAAACTTACCATTACAAAACTTGAAGAAACCACCATCTTCTCGTGTGCTTCGCAAAATCGACAATAATTTTGTTGATAAATTGAAGAGAAGAATGATAGAGGATGATAGTGGTATTGGAATACCGTCATTTGCTGTAGTGTGCCTCAATATTTCTCACAAGTCCAAGTTCGAGGAGAGATTAAAAGATATATATAAATATGAGGTTCATGGTGGTTTACACAGTTTTCAAGCAAGAGAGGAACTGGTCAAAGAGGGAGCAATGAGCGAAACATCAGTCATGTGTGATGTATATGTTTATCTTAATGATGAGGAAGCATTATGGCTTGCATCACGGCATAACAGAAATGGCCACTTCAACCACCATATGACACACCGCAACTACGTAAGAAGTGATGTCACTTATAATATGCATCATTTTAATTTAGCTGGAAGTATGCCGTGCCAGACTGTTTGCAATGCATCCTGATGCCACTGAAGTTCCATCTAATCTTTTACAGTGGAGAAAAGTGTGCACAAATTGTATTTTACCGCCGGTGAGTCACTACAACTGATGGATACTTATAACTATATACACGATGAATGTGAATTAATTGTACGATATGGTTCCAAATTCCATGGTCAAAATTTTTGTAATTTTAATTATCATATTGGCATGCTAAAATTACCAGTTGCCATTTCATTTTATTACTTTTTAAATTTTTATTCACAAATATCTTAATTTAAATATGTCAGGAGAGTGGAGCTACATGTATAATTATAATTATTTTTGAAAATCTAGGAAATGTCTCGCACACAAAAGGAAAACATATTTGCCCAGTCTACATTTCATAGTGAAATTTGGGATGAAGTTAATGATGTAATGGATATGTTTGA